AAGGTTGCTTGGGCTGCTAGCCACTGGACAACAGTCAGCCATACAGGTGGCCTGTGACTATGTGTTCACTGGGGAGGGCCCTAGGTCTTTTCCTTCCTTCCGGGCTTGGCCAGCAGCAGCAGCAGCAGCTACCTTCCCAGGTCCAGGCTAGCCCTGGATCCACCCCCTCAGAGCCAGTCACTAGGCTGGGATGAGGCACCCCAAATAGGGTATGGGCGTGCCTTCTGCTTCCTTCCCAGAATCCCCCAATCCCTTAATTTACATTTCTAATGAGGACAGAGTGAAGGACACCACCAAGGCCCACCTGTCTAATCCCTGTTCCTCTTCTTCCACAACCTCTCCCCATTCCCTCACAAGGCTAGAGGATTAAAAGGATGAGCAGGGAGCCAATCTTGTATTCCTTACTGGCTTGTCGCAGGCCGGGTTCAGAGGAGTCACTGGATCTTCCAGATAACCCTCATCTGCTATTCCCACTACCGCACATATCTCTACACCAGACTTACACACACACACATAAACACACATACAGTGTACACACACCAGTGAGCTTGCTGGCAATGAATGACAAGACTCCTTTCTGTGTGGTGTTCAGTGTGTAGCAGCTTGTTTCAGTCGTGAAATATATACCTGACTTGGGATCCTGTGACCTTGGGTACATACTTCTCATGCCCTGAGACTTAGCCCATCTAGTTAAATGAGATAACATTACCTCCCTCTCCCAGGACTGCTTTCAGGCTAGGAGAGGGAGGTAATGATAATCCCTGTAAAGCATCTAGCAGATAAGGCCCAGGTAAATGGTAGCCACTACAAGCCCCTCACTCCTATTGGAGCCAGACAGTAGATCTCAGGAAGAGCTGAGGCAGGAGCTGGCCTGGGATGTGAAGGCCAAACCTAGGATCTAGCTGAGGGGACCACTTGGGGCCAAGAGTAGCTGTAGCCCAATCAGCTGGACACCAGGGAGAGACGCCCTAAATATCTTACAGATGGGTAGCTCACAGGTGTTCACACTTGTATGACACCTTGTCATTCATAAAATACATAGCTCACCACCACTGTATCACGTCTCACAAAGGTAGGCAGGACAGCAAATATCATCTCCTCTTTAGAATTCAGTACAAGGTACCAAGGGCAGGCAGGCTGGAGGCATCGATGGCCAAGGCTGTTCAGCAAGTAACTCTGCCTAGCAATGCTTTGGTAGTAGTGGAAGGGGCAGTCAGCCTTTTAGGATGATGGGGGAACGGACAGACAGATGGACATGACGCAGACGGACAGGAGATACACTAGAACTGGCTCTTCTCCCCAGCTGCCAACCCTGCCACTGGAAGACACCCAAAAGTCTTTCCAACTATCCATGCCAACTGCTCAATCCTTTCACACACCCCCAAAATCCAGGAGGACCCTGGCCAGGCCCCGCAGCTGTGAGTCAGAAAGAGAACAGAGGCCTCTCCCTTGACAGGAGACTTAAGGGGAGAAACTAACACTTCCACCCCGCAAACAGGCACCAACCCCAAACTCTCTCTCGTCCCTCTTCCCCACAGGGCCTGGAAGTCAAAGCAGTTTAGGGAAGGGGGGAGTTAGGGAGCAGATCCAGCAGCTGCTCTGAGGGCAGGAGAGGAACATTTCATTCACCCTCGAGTCCCCCAGGGCTGAAGCAGAGCGTCCAAGATTTGAGTTTAAAAATAAATTGGCGCTGTCTTAGTGGCTGTGTGTGCATGGGGCTCTTTCTTGAGCTCAGCTTTCCAGCCTCAGGTCCTCTGTCTCCTGGGGGATGGGCTGGCTGAGAGTCAATTTCCCCCCAAGCTTTGCCTCTACCTTTTCAGGCCTGGGGCAGCTGTCAGTGAGTACACCTAGCAGCCTCTCTTCCGCGAACTCTAGCCTCCCCTTCTCAGCACCCTTGGGTTGCGGTCTTTGTGTTTGGGTGTGGGTGTCCCTGTATCTCTGGAGCTGTGTCCCAGTGGACCCACTCTGGGGATTTCTATCCCTCGGCGGCCAAGTCTTGGTCTCTCAGTGTCTCAGACTCTGAAAAGTCACTTTAGGCCTCAGGGAGGCAGATTTAGCACTAGTCTAACAAGCTTCAGCCTCAGGGCCCTCCAAGGCCCTGGGAAGGGCGCTAGCAATGATTTCCCTGGGGTCATACATTTGCTTCTTAAAATGTTCCATAGAACCGGGGTCCCCGCAATGCCAGGAGAACTTCGGCGGTCCATTCTCTGCACTAGTTTGAATGGTTCCTGTAGCCTCCTGGGGCGTGCGTCCTTGTCAGTTCTATCAGGCTTCCTAAGAGCCTCAGTTTCTCCAACCCTCCGGATCTTTCTAGCTTTTCTAGTTCAAATTTGGTCCCCTCCCCCTGCAACTCTGGCTGTCCCCTCCCGGCCCGAAGGCGCCAAGCGGTGAGGTCCGTACTGGTGCGCGTGGTCCCAAGCTCGGGGTGTTTGGAGGTGTCCCAGCAGGGGAGAGTGGCGGGGAGTCCCCGGTAGCACCCCGGCACCAGCGCAGCGCGGGTACTAGGGCGGGGGACGCTCACCTCGAAGCGGGCGTGGGAGCCGGGCGCGCGCGGGCGTAGGTGGGACCCGGAGCCGATTGCCCCGCCGCTCCTACCTGCCGGCCGGGCCGAGCGGGCCGAGAGAGCCGCGGAGACGTAGCCTGCTGCGACAGACTGTGTGGGCGAGTGGGCGCGCGGCCCTAAGCCTCCGAGGAAGTGCGCGGGCCCGCCCCGCCCGGACCCCGCCCCCGGGCCCCCAACCCGCCGGCAGGGGCCAGACCCCGCCCCCTCCTGCCTGCTGCGAGCCCGGCCCAACCGAACCTGGCGCTCTGACCTTCTCGGCCCCGCCTTGCCTGCTCCCTGCAGCCTGGCCCGCCCCCCTATGCCCCTCCGACCCACGAGAACTGCTGGAAGCGATCTTAGGCCAGGGCTGCAGGACTCCTAGGACCAGGGTCCGACTGGGGACCAAACCCCCTCATCATCTCCTCCTAGCTCATCCCCAGATGTTAACTAAACCTCGGCTTGTGAAAGAGGCCTTAATGCAGTCTGCGGGAGGGGATGGTTTTGATTCTGCTGGCATAGCCTTAGCAGTGGAGATCAAGGTATTTTTTTTTTTTTAGAAACTTGGGCTAAAGAGAGCCTTTATCCTCCTCAGTTTCAAAGGGCTTTATTCTATAACTGAGTGGCGAAAGCCCAGGCAACAACCTCCCCAACCTCAGATGTATCCTGGCACTGAGGTTTCTACAGTGCCCCAGGAATAGTTTTGACCTTTCAGACTCAGGGAGACCCTAATCCTCAGTTTCATGAGCTTTTGGTTTCTTGGGAGGGGTGTGAAGAGCGTGAGTGGTTATGTTGCTGCAGGCAGGGGTGGTGAAGGAGAAGAGGGGGGACTTCTACAGTTTCTGATCCTCCAGCTTCTACTCTGTGCCGGGAAGGGAGGACAAGCGCTTGCCAGGGACACAAGGCCCATCCAGGTCCTAAAGGCCAACCCCCCTGGGATCCTCAGGCTTGTCACTAGGAATAAATAGCCTCAATCTGGAGGGAGGTGGTGGTGGAAGGGGGGAGGGGGAGGCTCTGTTGTGCTGTTTGCAAAACAGGAGACAACAAACTTATAACCTTTGTATCCATGGTGATTCAGATGCCCAGAGAGGCTCCCCTGATCCAAGGCTGTATCCCAAACAAATTTGTACTGCAGAGATTAAGCCCCCCACCCCTCCTCAAGGCTGGTGAGGACCCTCCTCTTCTGTAGCATGTGTCTGGTGCCTCGGTCCTAGGACAGCCTTCAGGCCTTCAGGCTAGGTTTCCTTTCAAAATTAAACGATTGCTTATAATGTTGTTGATTCTTAATGCAAGCACATTGAGGGCAGAAGTTGAGTTGTTTTTTTTTTTTTTTTTTTTTTTTTTTTTTTTTTGGTTGACTACTACATTCCCAGTATCTACTCCAGTGCTTGGCATACAATAAATAACTGATGAATGAATGACACACTGCTTCAGTTTGGATCCCCTTGTCACTCCCTGCCAGGCACCTGCTATCAGGAGGTGACTAGACAGCCTGAGGGTGGACCTTTCCTCTGGAGGGATGCAACAAACACTATTCCTGGTTGGAGTAAATAGCAAGAGGGGGTCTGTTGGGGATGAGATGATGAGGAAAGGGTTTATGTCAGCTTGAAATTCCACATCACAGCTTTGCTCAGGGATGTCAGGGTAGGAACTCAAGCAGGGCAGGAAACTGGAGGTAGGAGCTGAAGCACAAACCATGGAGGGACTTGCTGCTTATTGGCTTGTTTCTCATTACTTGCTCAGCCTGGTTTTTTAGAACACCCAAGACCACCAGGGTGGCACTGCCCACAATGAGCTGGGCCCTACCATGTCAGTCAGCCAGTACACTGCTCTTCCAGAGGATCCAAATTGAGTTCCCAGCATCTATGTGTGGCACCTCATAGCAGGCTGTGACTCCAGGGAGTCTGATGCCTTTTTCTGGCCTCCTCAGACACCAGCACAGGTGACAATCATTCATACAAAAACAAACATGTACATATAAATAAAAATAAATAGCTGGGCAGTGGTGGTGCAGTCCTTTAATTCCAGTAGTCAGAGGCAGTTGAATCTCTGTGATTTTGAGTCCAGCCTGGTCTACAGAGCAGGTTCCGAGACAGCCAAGGCTGTTACACAGAGAAACTTTGTCTCAAAAAAAAAAAAAAGTAAAATAAATAAATTATAAAAAAATTGATATGTGTGTGTGTGTGTGTGTGTGTGTGTATGTGTGTGTTTATACACATGAACATACGGTAGGAAGTAAGGAGCAACTTGTGAGAAGGAATTCTTTCTTCTTGCCATGTGGTTTCTGGGAATAATCAGGCTTGGTGGTAAGTGCTTTTACCCACTAAGCCATCTTGCTGGCCCTGCAGTCAGTTAGATTCTGCCTGTATAGGTTTAGGGGATTGGACTCAGGTCATCAGGCTCACAGCAAGTGAGCTGCCTCACCAGCCCTAAATATAAATTTTTAATCCTCTTCTCAAAGGTGAGAAAATCACTTCGGCAGCACAAATACTAAGACTAGGATGACACAGAGATAAGCATGGTCCCTGTGCAAGGATGACATGCAAATTCATAAAGAAAGTCATTGTTTTTAAATAAGACTTTATTGTATAGTTTTTTGTTCCACTAAAAATCTGTTAACCAGAAGCAGCAAAAAAAAAAAAAAAAAAAAAAAAAAAAGATGGGGAAATAGAGATTGGGGCCTGCGGTGGTGCACACATTTAATCCTAACACTCAAGCAGCACAGGCAGGTGGATCTCTGTGAATCCGAGGCCAGTCTGGTCTGTACAGCGAGTCAGGGCTGCTTAGTGAGAACCTGGGGAGAAAGAGAGATAGGGGATAGGGAGAGGGGTGGAGAAGAGAAGCACACATACATTAACTGCCAAGGATGGCAAAGTCAAGATTGAAATCCAGACTGTCAAATTGTTTCTCATGTCCAAAATGATCCTAAGCATTACCTGGATAGTCAGTGAACCTGTGAAAGGCAGTCTCTTCCTCAAGGGTACCATTACTAAGTACTGATGAGATCTTGCAATAAGTCTTCAGTATGTGAGGAGCCCTCCCCTCCTTCCCTCTCATGGTTAAGTGTTAAGGTTCTGTTGTTAGGACTTGGGAGTCTAAAGGTCAGAGAAAGTTGGGAGATTTTTGGCTCTGGCCAGCCTGGGGGAGGGAGACTATCCAAGTCAGGGGGCTGTGTGTCCTTTCTCCTCTCCGTTTCCAGTGGGCTCACATTTCCCTGCTCACTTTTTTTCCATTGGCCCAGGAAGACGTGCCCCAGGGAGTTCAGGGATCAGCCTCATGGACTCTCTGTCCCTGTTACCCATCTGTCCTCTCCCCCTTTTTTTGGAAACAGGTGTTTCTGAGCCGGAGCTGGAAGGAAGCAGAGTGCTTGGCCACAGGCTTAGGTTAAGTGGGCATTTGCTCTTTCCTTACCCAGGGGGTTCCTACACACATTTCCCCATCTCAAGCTCGCAGAGCCCCATCTTGTCTTCTTGCCTTGCAAGAGCTTTTAAAAGAAGGCTCTGGGTCACTTCTGCCAGGCCTCTCATAGCTTCCTCTGTCTGGGTGCTGAATCACTTTGGTGCCTGCAACCACAAGACCTCCTTCCCCCTAGGGAGAAAATACCCTTTCTTCCCTGGGTGTATTGCTCACTCTTAACACTGCAATGCCCAGAGCAGGCCTCCGGCTTAGCAAACACTCTCTTTCGAATGTCTTAGAAACTTGATTTGTGCTCCCAATCCCACAAGGGTGTCATAGAGGGTAAAATGAGGACTCTTTAACAGAGCACAGGCAGGGAAGCAGAGAACATGGTTAAATGCTGTGTGGGCACCATGCTTATGGTACTTGCTATGTTGTCTAGTCTTTAAAAAAAAAAAAAACCCATGTGAACTGGTTATTGTTATCACTTTACAAAGGTTTTGATGGTGTGGCTCTAAATGCCAAACTAAAGGGTGGTAGTTGTGCAGCGCCAATCTAGGGCTAACTCTAGAGTCCCCCACCTTCTGGGTACAGCAATAGCTTTCCCAGATGCTGCTGGACAAGGTAGGAGTGGAGACAGCAGTTATCTGGCCCTTCTATCAGATAGCTAAGCTTCTTGAGATGAAGCTGGAAAGGTGGTCCATCCAGGAGCTTGTTTTTCAATTAGGAATTTTTCTAATGCATGTGGACCTAACTGGGCAGAGATCAAGTGTGTAGACACAGAAAAAAAAAATCTTCATATTGTGACCTTTTTCATACTCACTGACTCCTGAACTCTCTGAAGAAGGTTTCCATGTCATTTTTCAGCTGGAGAGGTGGCCAGTGACATGTAAAATGGATGCAATTAAAGATCCTGTCTAAGCCTAGTGGTGCATGCTTTTAATTCCAGCACTTGGCAGGTGGAGCTCTGTGAGTTTGAGGCCAGCCTGGTCTACATAGCAAGTTCTGAGACAGCCACAGCTACATAGTTGATATTTTGTCTGGAAAAACAAAACAAAACAAACAAAAAAGAGCCTGTCGACGATGAGCCTCATGTAGTGGAAAAGAATCCAAATGCCAACCGATTAAAAAAATAAGGATGAGAGAAAGAGAGGGAGAGGAGAGAGACAGAACAAACAATTCCAAACACCATTTCTTGCTTTGCTGGGTCTAGCTCTCTCTTGTGCTACTTAGAGATAGCTTTAGTGATGATAAAAATAACACCCATAGCTGGGCATGCTAGTGCACACTTGTAATCCAAGCACTCTGCAGATGCAAGGGAATCCTGTGAGTCTGAGACCAGCTTGGTCCAATGAGTTTCACGGCAGCCAGGCCTACAGCAATAGATTCTGCCTTAAGACACCAAACCAAATTAGACTAAGTCAAACCCAATAAAACCAGAAACTAGAGACAAAACAATGTTATTGTGAACCAGCTAACAAGTAAACAGGGCACTAAGCACGTTAAACATATTATGACATTTAAGCCTCACAATCCTGTGGGTATAGCATTATTTTATTATTTTACAACTAGATATGGATATCAACCCTCAGCACAACTATCTTTCCTTGTTTAAGAGTAGGGGTGGGTCACGCGGTGGTGGTGCACTCCTTTAATCCCAGCACTTGGGAGGCAGAGGCAGGTAGATCTCTGTGGGTTCGAGGCCAGCTTGGTCTAAATAGTGAGTTCCAGGACAGCCACGGCTGTTACACAGAGAAAGCCTGCCTCGGAAAAGCAATCATGAGTAGGGATGGGAGTGGGACCAGAACACTCCCACCACAGTTCATGGCTCAATCTGTTGTCACATTATACTTCCTTACACTGAGTCTGCCAGCCAGCCATTTCTTTGATGGTTGTGAAAGACTCAGAACTTTACTGCTAGTAGATGATTCTTTTCTGCCATGCTTATAGATACAATTCTGCAACTCTGTGCACTTGACACTCCTATGAGCAAGACCAGCGTGCTATTATTATCTTCGTTTTATGGATGAGAAAAATGATGCTCGTTAAAGTCAAGAAACCTGCTCAAAATCCTACAGCCAGAAGTGTTCTAAACTCACATTATTTTTAGTTTTTGTTTCTTTTCTTTTTCTTCCTTCCTTCCTCCGTCCGTCCGTCTGTCCCTTCCTCCCTTCCTTACTCCCTGCCTCCCTTTCTTCTTTTTGGTTTTTCGAGACAGGGTTTTTCTATGTAGCATTGGCTGTCCTGGAACTAGCTCTGTAGACCAGGCTGGCCTCGAACTCACAGAGATCTGCCTGTCTCTGTCTCCTGGGTGCTGGGATTAAAGGCGTGTGCCATGACCGCTGGTTTTTTGTTTTGTTTTGAGACGGGGTTTCATTTCACTAGGTTGCCCTGGCTGGTCTGGCATTCACTATGTAAGGATAGCCTTGAACTCACAGAATCTCAGTTTCTGCCTCAGAGTGCTTGGATTAAAGGTTGCTGGGATTAAATGTATGAGCCACCACCGCCCCCTCTATTTAGAATAGAATTTTAACCCAGGCCAAGTCGCAGGTGACTGCACATGCGCATACGCAAGCCGAGCTCTGCCAGAGGGCAGTATCAGCCACGTGTTCCCAGATGCCAACTTCTGTGAACACTTTTAGGCGAGTGAGAACTCTGGAGGAATCACGAGTCTCGATCTAGGAAACTACATCTCCCAGAAGCCTCCTGTCCGTCCGGACTGCTTGAGCGGGGATGGATTTCCGGTAGAGTAGGCTTCTGATAGGCTGCACAGTGTGGAAGCCTCAAACGGCTGGGCCTGCTTCCGGTGGTCTTGGCGGACGCTGCTGCTCAGGTACCGGTGGTGGAGTTTGCTGAACCTTTTCTGGACCCCAGTAGGCATGGCGGCGGCTTTTCGGAAGGCAGCCAAGTCCCGGCAGCGGGAACATCGGGAACGAAGCCAGGTAGGCTCTCGCAGTCTCCATGGGCGACGGCCAGTGGCCCCTGCCCCCTTGCTATCCTAGCGTCTGGATACCGGCAAGCGCATCTGCCTTCTGTGAATACCCGACACATGGGTCCTGACCCCTGCGTGCCTTGTCGGGGAGGCCTGGGGACCTGGTTAGGGGGATGGTCATTGTCCATGGTAGGAGGTTCAGTGGGGAATTGAGTGAGGCGAGGTGCGTCACATGCCTTCCCCCGGTGACCAGCAGCAGTGGGCGCCCCGCATCCGACGCGTGCAGGAGTTGTGACCCAGGACAGGTGTGTTCCTAAAGTGGGCCCAACTTTTGGTCTTGGGATTTCTGGCTCATGTAGATCTGTAACATGCCTCACACTGGAATCGTGGTACTTTCCTTCTCCCTTCAGGAAAGTGACTTGATCTGTGGGGACCTGACAGCCCAGGTCTGTAATTGCAGCTACTCAGAAGGCCAAGGCAGAAGGATCACAAATTCAGGGCCTGACTGGGCAACTTAGACCTGTCTCAAAATAAAAATCTAAAAAAATTCTAGACATACAGCGGAGTGGTGAACTGTTTGCCTAGCAAGATTTAGTCCTTGATAGGAAGAAAGGAGGGAGGGAGTCCCCCACTAAATTTTAGTTAGAATAAATAATTGTGGGGTTTCTAAGGAGAATGTGTCAGTGTGGGAATATGCAGTAGAAATAAAGATATACCCGGAATCACATTATTCACTTTATTATTCTCAGAAATCACATGATTTTCAAACAAGCCTTCAGTGGCTGGAGAGAGGGCTTAGCCATTAAGAGCACTTGACTGCTGTATCAGAGTTCAAATCCCAGCACCCATGTGGTGGATTCACAAATACCTGTAACACAACTCCAGGAAATCCCACACTCTCTTCTGGCTTCCACAGGCCCTCACTCACATGCTCATATACACACAGGCATACCCAATTATAACATCTTTGTTTGTTTGTTTGAGACAGGGTTTCTCTGTGGTTTTGGAGGCTGTCCTGGAACTAGCTCTGTAGACCAGGCTGGCCTCGAACTCACAGAGATCTGCCTGCCTCTGTCTCCTGAGTGCTGGGATTAAAAGTGTACACCACCAACTCCTGTCACAGTTATACATCTTTTTAAAATATTTATTTTGGTTTTTCAAGATGAGGTTTCTCTATGAGAGCTCTGGCTGCCCTGGAACTCTCTGTAGACCAGGCTGGGCTCGAACTCACAAGAGATCCACC